TTATGATGATGTTAAACAAGAGATTTGAATAAAATAACAGATAACCATATATGGTCATGTGGCTCATTAATATGCATAATCGTTGTGTCTCAAACACTGTTGCAGTTAGGAAGATGAATCCTGTGTTATCATGACTATGTTGAACAAGAGATTTGATTAAAATAACAGATTACCATATATTAATAACCTTTATATCTCAAATAAATATATGGAACCAACTGCATTTCGACCTCATGGTACTAATCATTCAAACTAATTGTGTATCATTTGACATTATTTATGGCATGTATACTTGGGCCCCTGTGACGCTGCTTGCAGCTTTAATGTTCATTTTCTAATGATATTTTCTGTTCTTTAATTGAAATGTGCATTGCTAACAGCAGGGCTAACTCAGCCGACCGGCTGCTTGTTAGTCCCCGTTCGAACGAAGTCCGAAAACGGGGACTTATAATTCGGTCTCCGTCCGTCCGTGTGTCCGTCCGTGCGTCCGTTCGGAGTCATATCTCAGAATCCCTTGGACCGATTCCGTTCATTCTTTGCATTTGCCTAGTACTTTATGTGGGACATATGCACATGCAGTGGTTTAGCGATTCGATTCAAAATGGCCGACTGGCAGCCATCTTGTTTTTTGAAAATGTTGTATTTTGGACATGCTTTGTCAGTTTTCATTCAAACTTGGTACATAGATTATACATGTTAGGATGCATGTCCATGATGATTTATTTCACAATTGGATCAAAGATGGCCGACTGGCAGCCATCTTGTTTTTTGAAAATGTCGTATTTTGGACATGCTTTGTCAGTTTTCATTCAAATTTAGTACATAGATCATACATGTTAGGATACATGTCCCCAACCGTTCGTGAGTTCCTGAGGAAGTCCGTCCAACCATCCGTGTGTCCGTCTGTCCGTGCGTCAGTTTATCCAACGTCATATTTTCGTTCATTCTTTGCATGTGCCCAGTACCTTATGTGGGACATATGCACATGCAGTGATTTAGCGATTCGATTCAAAATGGCCGACTGGCAGCCATCTTGTTTTTTGAAAATGTTGTATTTTGGACATGCTTTGTCAGTTGTCATTCAAACTTGGTACATAGATTATACATGTTAGGATACATGTCCATGACGATATATTTCGCAATTGGATCAAAGATGGTCGACTGGCAGGCATCTTGTTTTTGTTTTTTATGCGGTATCTTGGATGTGCTCTGTCAGTTTTCATTCAAATTTGGCACATGTTAGGATGCATGTCCATGACAATTTGTTTCAAAATCTGGTCAAGGATGGCCGTTTGACTGCCATCTGACTTTTTGGCCTTACTACTATATTTCCACAATTTATGTACCATTTTCATTCGTATTTGGCACATACATCATACATATCTCTGTGTTTCATAATCAGATCAAAGATGGCTGAATAACGGCTGTTTTTATTTTGGCCCTATTACTATGACACGAAACACGTGTTTTCATGTACATAAACAATCTGTTGTATACGCCACTTGAAACTCAAGTTTCAAGACACGCTTGCGACAACTCCTCCGCTTTAATATGACAAGCACAAAGAGAACTTAACGGGGACTGTGTCATTTTCAATGACTTGTTATAATTTATATTAATATTTAATCAAATTTAAGTCAAGTTTGCGTAGTTTAGTGTTACTATAATTGTACCATTCCTATCCCCTTTTAAAACCTAAGCTTCGCATTTCTTTAAGTCACAGGATATTCAACTTTTATTTAATTAAACTTAATTAAAACTCAATTCTATGTTGAATTGCATTGTAATTGAGTTTAATTAATCTCCAATTAAAATGCAACCCTATATATGAATGCATTTTAATCGAATTCATATCGCAACTACTGTAAAAGGATAAATTATTCACTGGGTTTTAATTTCGCTTATTTCGCTAAACTGGAATATGCGCTAAATTAAAACCCAGTGAATATGTAAAATTTAGCATAGAACACATCATCTAAATGATAAAACCGTGAATTTAAAACCCTATGAATATGCCTGAAATGCTAAATAAGTGAAATTTAAACTCAGTGAAAATTAATCATTTTACAGTATATTAAAAGTTAATCCAATGTATGTTACAACGATGGTAAGACGTGGATGTGTGTGTGTGTCCTTCTGTTCCACTGATATCTCAAGAACAATAGGTTGGTTTTTGATTAAACTAGATGTATAGATGCTCTGGGCTATTAATTATGCATATTAATTATCTAATTTACATGATAATTAGCTAATATCTAAAGAACCACTAATTGGATTTTGATGAAACCGGGTGCATAGAAGTTCTGAGACAATGTTTAGCGTTAATATGCATGAATAATAATTACCTAATTTGCCTAATTAGTAAATTTTTGGTTTTTCCGCTGATATTTCAAGTAATAATCATACATTTCAATGAAACTTGTAAACTCATAGTTGCTGTCGACATAGGAAGTAAAGTAAGCAAATAACACCGAATAAACGGCAAGGTAAAGACTATGTCTAATTATAGTAAATACGTACTGCGTGCGTGACTCGAACCGGCGCTCGCG